CACCTGAACTGGCTTCTCAGCGAGTCTATCGCTGCCGGCGGTAGCTGCAGAGGTTTTCAATCCGTCAAGCTTTACGCGCAACTCGGCCTGAGAGCGCTGTAGAGCCAAGGCCTCGGGAGTCTCTAGAAGGACCGGTGCAGAGGCGACACCGCTGGCATCCGCTTTGGCCACACCCTGGGGGCCCTCACATGTGAGGGGCCCCAGGGTGGACAGTCCATCAGAGGAGAGACTATCCAGGAGGCTTTGACCGTAGGTCTTTCGGTGTAAACGTGCCTTCGAGGAAAGGGAAAGATATAAAATTTGTTGGCAAGTGATCTTTGGGAGTAAAGAACGAGTTCTAGGATAAGGGCTATCGCACTGAGTCAAGTCGAAAACCTGAGCAACTCAAAACTACGCCTACTGAAATGCATTTAGTAGGCATGTAATTATTTAGTAAAAGCCATCCCTACCAACGCTACTCCTGTTCATATTTTTAAACAGTAAATTCAACCCCAGCAAAGGCAGGTTAATAGGCTAAAATGTGACTTTTTTGTGGCGGTAGCGAATAGACTTACCACTTCAGATACATTTAGAGGTTCCCCAATCTCTTCCGACGTGAAGGCCATGTAAGAAATGGAACCATCAAGAGAGCAAGCCAACAGTTCCTTTCCATCAGAGCTCCTTCAAAACAGAAATCAAAGGCGAAAGCATCAGCATGCGCAACTAAAAGGAGGGTTTGAACTTAACCTGAAGAAATTAATTTTGAGGTTTTTGTTAACAAAATAACTCGAACTAGGCAGATAGTATTGTCGGCAAAGACAAAGGAGATTGGAATGGCCATTTCTGGCTCATTAGCCGTCGTCAACTAGTCAAATACAGACTCTAGTGGTGTCTCACCCGAACCTCGAAATCGCAACCTTTTGATCAGAGTCAAATGCCCTAACCATGAAGCCACGATCTCGTTGTCTAGCCAGTTTAGGTCGGCGGCTATTGACACTCATTGATGAACATTCACCTGACCACCAACGGAACTCATCTGTTCCACTCTTTCAAGAGACGTAATCGACTCTCTGACAGCAGTAACAGCTGTAAGTAGCTTGATAGTATCGCCAGCAAAGAATAGGGCAATACTATCTGCCTAATTCGAGCTGCTAGGGCCTCTGTCGAGACCGAAAGCAAAGTGGGACAGATGAATTCCGTTAGTGGTCCGGTGAACGTTCATAAATAAATAACTTGAACTGTAATTCCAAAATAATGATTACATGCTAGTACACTGCGTTAAGTTGAATTTCACTAGCCCAGTGAAAGCACAAAAGAATTGTAGTGGGAGAATAGTGACTAATTGTTAGATTTCAGCTGGGCAATGTCAGAAAGGTTATGAACTCACATGGTGTATACATCACTCACAGCCCTAACTAGGTTCACGCCGCTCCAGCTTCACACGGACAAAAAGCAAGTTACCAAAACACGGCTCTTGGGACGTGTTCCCACTGACCTTTAGCCTTGAATCCTACCAGCCCTCCGCTCAGTC